TAACCAATTTGAAGAGCATGGCATTTTAGTTGATGTTTATCCTTTAAGTATTAATCAAAATTTAGTTTATATTGAAGAATCGACATCGAATGAACTTGATATATCAGCTCTTTCGTCTCCTTATCGATGAATCGCGTGTTCCAATAATGATTGGCCTGTACTGGCTAGCAACAATCAATTTTTAATATTAGATCAATATCCAAATTTATGTTTATTTAATAAAGAGTTGACTCTTTTAAAACAAACTTCATGGGAATATGATCGCATTCCTGATATGTGTTGGTCATCGACATTAAATAGTTTTATTATCATAACAAACACAAATGGAGTTTTTCTGATTAACGAAAATCTAACATCAATTGAATGCATTCGAACAATCGAGAAGAAACAGTGGTTGTCTTGTACATGCTCAGATACATCTCTATTTCTAACCACCAATGAATATGGTTCTAATATTTTTCAATTCAATCTTTTATCATCGTTTCATTTCATCAAACCATGGAAATCTCCTCAAACTTGTAACGATGACGAATGTATCCATAATATGGCTTATAACAATGAAACACTTTCTTTAATAATATCACAGAAACACAATAAAACAATGCGCATAGAACTTGGATATTCATCAACACTCGATAAACTCTGGTCACTTCCATTTGATACAATGCGTAGTATGGGGCAACGGATAATTCGTGTTTGTTTACTCAAATATGACGAATGGCTTGTAATCGATTATAGTACTTCACATCTTTTACATGTTAGTAAAGATGGAAAAATAAAGGCAAAGCGTTTATACGAACCAACAGCTCATAATGCAGTTTTATTTGGTTCAAACATATTGGCTATCAGAACTACAAATTGTCTCAATTATTATGGAGTATAATAATAAAAGTTTATTATTGTCAATTAAAATAGATAGATCTATAGTTGTTTATTCATGATTAATAAATATCTCGTCAAGTCTGTGTATGAAACAATTTTTTGACCTATAGATCTTTTGAACAAAACAAATTATTCGTTTTTTTTTTATTAATTGTTCACGAATTTCTCATATAGAGTAACAATCAAAAACAAAAATAACGTCCTCATTGAGAGTGTGAATGTGGGTGTCGATATTCGAGAATTTCATTTTTTATGAAAAATATTAATTTTACAGTTCTTTAGTAAAGCTGAATTTTATTTTCATTAGATATCCCTCTTCACGACAAATACTTCAACATTAAATACTCTTCTGATTTTTTAATTTAGATAGCTGTTTCTTTTTCTTAAAAGTATATTCAATGATTATCTTCATTTTTACAACATATTTTAAAAGTTAAATTTTCCACATTACTTTTGAAGTAATTTGCTCAATTTAAAAACACTAAGTCTCAAAATAATAAACAAATATTTCCATGGAGAAGAAAACTTAGCGTCTGGTACATACAGGTACTTTTCTTTATCATCGATTGCTAAAATAGAGGTCTCATTCGTGGGGTGCGGATGGGGGTGTGGGTGTTGGCGTGGGCGTGGGAGGGTGTGGGTGTGGGTGTAGGTGTTAGCAGTGCCTTCTCTCACACCCACACCCACACCCACACTCACACCCACACCCCACACCCACACCCCACCCACACACTCACCCACAGCCACACCCCACACGCTCCCACACCCCACATCCACACTCACACCCCACACCCACACCCATTTTGCGTCGCCATGCTTGTTGAATTTTTTGAGCAGTGATATTCGATTCAGAAGCAAACGAATTGTAAAGATTCAATCTTTGGTTCATAGTGATTTGACGGAAGAAAAGAAACTACGTAAGATAATATAGTTTTATATATAGTTTATTGCAATACAAACGGGAAAAATCCAACTCCTAGCTAAGACGATATTAAAAAAACATTAAAAAATGTAATATTTAAGTATGCAAATGTCTGCGTTTATTTTAATATCCATTCAAGCATCAATTTATTCTTTACATACTCTGCACGCCCATATGTCCAACAAATCATAGCCTATATGGAAGTAAGAGCAAATAATAAGTTCGAGAAGAGAAAAGCAAAATATTTATTCACTCCATGCATTTTCTTCATCCGAATCAAACTTCAACATAGTTCCGTCGTCTTAGTATTTGGATTAATAAACGAAAAGAGAGTGTGGGTTAGTGCAGATATGGGTGGGGGTGTGATGAAAAGATCTACACACACTCTCACCCGCATCCACACCCCACACCCTCCACTCACTTTTTCTACATCGATACAGAATAGCAATACGAATCTAGTTACATATAAGTGTAAAAGAAGACTCGTGTTGGTTTGCCTATAATATAACATGATTATAATGATCTTCTGTAAATCAAACGAGTATGGATACGATTGTGAAGTTCATGCAGAAACCATATGTCGATCTAAATGTCTTTTTGGGATAATTGGACATAAATCTACCGAAAAGAGATCGATAATAGTCTTCAAATACACAATACAATTGATTCGATGTATTCATTATTTAATTTTTTTGTTTTGAAATCAGATATATAGTTGTAGGCAAAGCAGTCTTTTATTTGTAATGTTTCAAGTAAGCAAAAAATAAAGATAGCCTATATGACTAGTTCGAAATGTCCTCAACACCTGTCAAGTATAGCCTGAACCGTCTTGCACACTCTTCATGACTAGTTCAATCTTCATCAATCATGAAAAAACCATTTTGAATGGAAAAATGCTGAAAAATTTTGATATAGTCAATCTTATCTGACTGAAAATGATAATAATATCGTCAGTATTCCATGTTAATCATTGTTCGTCATCAACATTGGGTGAACATGTACTCTAAGTTCTAGGACCATAAGATAGAATTAATAGAAAGATATTGAAGTTAATAAACATATCATTTTCTAAATGGATTCTACAGCTTAATATTCACTGGAAATTTGTTTTCTTTTGTTATCCCTTAAATTTCTATTAGATTAAGTATAACATTTAAAGAAATCAAATAGAAGAGACAAGTCATTAATTTGAATAATGTGAACTAGAGTCGGTATACTGAATGTACATTCTTATAGTTTTGAACATGTCAAGTCTGGTAAGAGTTGTGCTAATTTTTCAAAAGCAGAACATAAAAAACAATTCTGTTACTTTGTAGGAGATTTCGAGTTTTTGAAAAGTATACAGGAGTCACTCCGATCAGTGATAGTATCTGATGCTAATTAGTTTCACGATCGATGGCACTTGATTCAAGTGTGACATTTTAACAGTCAGCAAACCAATTTTCTGCAATCTATTAACGTCTCAATCCACTTAGCGTTTCATTAATGGAACACTTGAAGATGTTTGCTATATGAATTAGAAATACAAAACTGACAGACTTTTTTTGGTGTTCATTAATATGGTGTATTCTCCTATTTCTCAAGATTTGATCAATGATAATTGCCACGATATTAGCTAATTCTTTTTTTGAAACAGATCCAAATGTCACATTAATTTGTTCAAAAGATAATAAAATTGAACTTCAATTTCGCTAAAGATTTATAGTTTGATTGGTTGAATCCACAGCTGATCTGAAAATTTATGTTTTGTCAAAGTTTTCCTTGAATCCATTCACATAATCATTCAAACAAAGCTCTAGTTGCAATTACTTCTTTGGTCAATCTATTCCTTTCACGCCGTTGATTTTTTATGTGATGTCGTTCTTCTTTATAACTATGCCGATCGGCTCTTGTTGGACGTTTCCAGACAACATCATAACAGCAACCTTTTCGTCCTCGCTGTTTATTTCCTACGTTCAAAAACAATACTTGATCAATTCTTGAATCTGCCGTTGTCAGTCCACGAATTTTTGGTCCGAAGGGACAATAATCGCCTGAACAGAGCATACAATAATCGGCAACGTAACCTCCAAATGCATGTTCATGTGCATTGCGCCAATCCATTGAGAAACAATGCCTCGAACCATCTACAAAATAGATTAAAGTCACGACAATATCTGGCGAATGAATATCAAGTAATCGTATTAAATTCGCTTCGTCTCTGAAAGCCTGTGATCCATATTGAAGAGCTAAATTGAAAATGTCTTGATTGATTTTAAGAAATTTTGCATAAGGTTGATAGACAAAATCTGGTCTGCTCGGGAAACTTAAATGTTTCGGCACCCTCTTTTCACGTCGTGGAGACCAATGATAACCATTATACTGGTAGAAATTATAATTACGATGGATAATTCTTTTATCAATATTATTTGGTGATTGACTGTATTTTTTCAATAGATCGATCAATATCCAACGGTTTCTTTTGTCTAACGAAAGATCACATGATGATTCACTATGTGATGAGTCTTGAGAACATGTTTTGCAAAATCGAATCGTCTTATTGCTGCGATACTTGCCATCTCGCCGCATTGTGTTCCTCACAAATGAAAATAACTTGCTTTTTATCTCGGTATTTCGCAATTTTTCACTGTTCTTTCATAATTCTTGAGCAATTACAGTAAGTATATCAGCTCACTCCCGAAGCAGCCGTATGACTCAGTTTCTTGCGACATGTTTATCGCACTGTTTTTTCTCTAATCAATAAATTAATAAAATGTTTCAGAATCAAGGAAACATGTCTTGAAAGCTCAAAATTATTTTGACACACTAGCAAAGTGGTGAGATTTATATAAAAATTCAAATTCAGCATCAAGGAGTCAAACCATCACAGAACTGACAATTTGAGAGGCAATCAATTTGCACCTTCAATCAAAAAAAATCATCTACTCCTATGTTCTATCATTTCATTCGTAGGTTTTTTTGCCTAGACTGAAACGATAGGGTCTAGAAACGGGAATTGATCTGTCCGCGCGTATATCGTTTTTGTCGGTAACATGGCACAAATGACCATTTTTTTGGCACAAATGACCATTTTTTTGGCACAAACGACCACGTAACTATGGCACAAGTAACCATTTTTTTTGGCACAAACGACCATTTCTTTGGTACAAATGACCATGTAACTATGGCACAAACGACCACGTAACTATGGCACAAGTGACCATTTTTTTGACACAAATTACCACTTTTTGCTATAAGTAATCAAGTAACTATGGCACAAATGACCATTTTTTGGTACAAACGACCACGTAACTATGGCATAAGTGACCATTTTTTTGGTACAAACGATCATTTTTTTGGTACAAACCAGAGATGTACATGGCGGCGCTGCCGCTGCCGCTGCCGCCGTGGCGGTGGCGGCAGGTTTCTTAAAAATTCATCGTGGCAGCGGCAGAATTTTTAAAAGCTCATCGCGGCAGCGGCAGCATTTTTTTCGAGGACATTGAAAAACTGCATGAATTTAATAGAATTTCATTGTTTACAAATGAAACACCCCGAGACTGAATGAATCTAATGGACTAGTACCAATATTTCTGGTCCAATACAGTTGCAGCAGTGAAAATCGAAACACTTTTTTGAAAACCATCGCGACAGCGGCAAGTTTATTACTCATCGCGGCGCGGCAGCGGCAGAGTTTCAGCCGCGATGGACATCTCTGGTACAAACGACCATTTCTTTGGCACAAACGACCATTTTTTGGTTCAGATGAGCATGTTACTATGGCAGAAATGAGCAGTTTTTGGCACAAATTACTATTTTTTTTTAGACAACGACCACGTAACTACGGCACTAGTGACCATTTTGGTAAATATGGTAGAAAAGACCATATAGTACCCATATTACAAATCAGCATATGATATATAATAAAATTGTGACAAGTGAATCAGAACAAATACGGAATTTTATGATGTATGAAAATGTTATTATTTTAAATGTGATTTTTATTGAATATAAATAGAGCTAATTTTATTAACGCTTTTTTGTACTCAGAAGAATTTTAGTATTAACTTTTTAATCTTAATCTTATAACTTTCTAACAC